TTTTGATATTGTGTTCTAAATAATCTAATTTTTGCAAAAATGAAGTTTTTACAAAAAATTTTTTTTTGGCCCATCACTACCTTTTGCTGTGGGACCCCCCATATGTATTGTAATATTGCATACCTTAACTAATTTAAAAAATGGGTATTGTGTGTGTGCTCTTTTCAAGTCTTTGGCATGGTTATTTTTTTACGATAAGTTTCAATTTGTTCTACCATTGTATTAATTGACTGAAAGTTTTTTTCTATACTTTTACCCCATTTAAGATTTTTTGTATCTTTGTGTTCATGTAATAGATCAAGTATTTTTTGAGTTATCTCAATTAATCGATTAAAAAAAATATCTGAATCTTCAACTTGATCATTATTTATATTAATCGTATCGAAATCTTGAACCTTTGTTTCAATTAAAAGATGTTTATTATTATTTTCAACCTGATTGTCACTATTTATGTTAACTATTAAAGAAGTCAAACTAGTATTAATTAAAAATGGATGTTGATTGTTTTGCTTAATCTGGTCAAAGAATTGTAGTGATACAACTCCCTTTTTTTGGACAAGGTGTTTACAAATAAAGAACCGATTTGTAAGATAATACAGACAGCTACAGGTCTACTGTTCCACATTGGTATTATAAAGTTTATTACTGTCTTCTTTAACAATTCTGTTCGTCAATCGGTTCCATTCTGATTTTATTGATTTTCACCAATCTGCTCTTATTCGTCCAAGTATAATTTGATCAAATTTACGTCTTTGATGAAAAATTACTTTTTTCATAAGAATATAGGTAACTAGATCAAATCTTGGACGAAAGAATTTATATAAAAAATCTCGTTTGATTACTTTCCAATGCGATTCTATAAACATCATTGTTTTTAATATTGAAATCTTATTTTTACAATCTGCTCTCATCCATAAGACCCATCGATCTGTGCAATACCACTCTTTTTATAAATAAATCTAAAGAAAGGGCAAAGAATTATTTTTACAAAAAAAATAGATTTCTTTCACTGCTTGTTCCCAAATTTGTAAACATGTTAGTGCCAGATTAGATGTTGGTATTAAAGGATGAAGATGTAAATGTCTATCTATTAATTTCCAAACTGATATATGTAATTTTTTAGGACAAAACATCGTATCTTTTTGAACTAGAAGTTGTGGAATAAAATCTTTGTCAATAAATGAAAAATACTTATAACTATTACTATGCTTATAAGTACTTTTTGTGAAAATTTATTTGAAATTAATCAGGTATCAATTGCTTTTTCATATGCCAACAATATAATTAAATTTTAGTATTTGGCCAGATAAAATGTATTCCAGAAATCTGAGCGAAATCTTTATCACTTAATGCGAACTCAGGTATAAATCCTTGTAACTTTATCTCATTAAGAAAATTTAACAGTATATCAGTTCGTACTCCATTTCCAGATTTACCATTACTTTCTAAAAACAGATATACAAGCAGATACTCTAAACTATCTACTTCTGTATGCAGTACATACAATTCTAACCCTAAATTGTTCGTATTATCTATACATATAAAAAATATATTAATATATATATATTCTAATTGCAAGTAGAAAGTACATATAAATAAATAATAAAATATATTATAAATACATGTTGCATCAATTCTGCATTCATGTATATTAATGTTTAATTGTTTTAAGTAATCAAGAAAACTTGTTAAAAATCCAATTGCTTTAACCGGTGTTGTTGTATTTACAATAAGTTTATAATTTTTTTCTTCAATCTATATCAAAGCAGATTTAAAAGCATCTTGATGTCTGACATATCTACTACTTCCAAAAACTGTCTACCAATAGTAGACTTGTTTTTGTACAATCAACGTATCCATACCCTTATTAATTAGATTCGCATAAATATCCCGTGGTAATAAATCAATATCTTTAATATATTGTTTAATATCACCTGGAACTTCTATATTATTTGGCTTTGGATGCAACATATTATGTTTAACTATAATATTGGCAACCTAAAGCATTAAGTTAATGTTTACTTTAATACAACCATCGCAATCATATCATTTCATTGAGGTGATATCTCTTCGTTTTTCCAGATTATCATGCTTACGAGATTTTTTTGCCATATTTATCCGTTGAGAACAAAAGTACTAAATACTTGTAGTTTGTTTGCCATCATATTTATTATTATATCTACAATAGTAATAAAATAATATTATA